AGACCAGCTGGTCTGATTGCCCAGTGTCTACCTTGAAACTTCTTGAAGCTTCCTTCTTTAGCATGTTTTATATTTAATACAAAACTAGATATCTTCATCAGTGTCCCAAACTAAAACTAAGTGGGCCAGATGCCCAGGGTTGATTTACACCTGGATCAATTGATATGAAGAAGATGCCTCTGTAGCATGCAGCTTTAATCTTGTCTAGCTTTGACTTCACAGCAAGGGGTGGGAAAGGCGAAAAAGTAGAAGACCCAGCAGTCCATCCCAGGGCTTGGCCACAGAAGTTCACATGCAGTGCTTCTTAGTCTAGACCTGGTGGTCAAGTCTGATCAAGGAGATGGCCATGTAGATCTACCAGGACACTCATCCGGGGACATTTAATATGTCAAGAGTTTCTCTAATCCTGGGAATTGCTGCTGAGCTGTCTCATCCTGCTATTTAATGAATTAAATTATGAAGCAGCGCATAGCATAAGCACACAGAGAAACTGTTGGCTGATGTTTCTAAGAATTAAAAATATAAAAATAAAAAACAAGATACCTTTAAAGTCCTCTTATAGCTACTCTTTAGGATTACTAAGTACCGAAGTGCTTTGCACACACACACACACACACACACACACACACACACACACACACACAGTAATTCTTGCTTTCTTAATTTGGACAGGAACTTGTCCTTTTAATATCCTTTTAATTATCTGTAAATAAAATAGTTAAAACAACCTACTTGAGAGAGATGACTTCATAAATTTTAAATAGTTTTTTATAACAAGCTGCTAATTTATCCATTTATTAAAACATGTTTAAGAGAATTCACAAGTAGATAAGTCTAGTACTTTATATGCTTCAGGATAGAGCCACTAAAATGTCAGTAAAAAAAGTGTAATAATTGGTTTGAATTATGGGCTTATGGGTTAGTCTCAGGTCCTAGAGCCACCTCACACCTGAGTTGAATCCCTCTTCTACTGCTTATGAGCCCTGAGCCTTAGGCTACTTACCCTAATAGTACCCATCTCAGAAGGTAAGACGTTTGTGTGAAAGGCATAGAACAGTTTGGCATATAGGAATGCTAGCTGTTATTCTTTCTTGTAATCAATTTGAAGTAATGGCCCTACTACTTCTAAGATTAAGGGAAAGCCTGTGACAAACAGTCTGTTTCTTTATATTTTAATTAAATTTAATTGCACTTTCATATGCTTTTCTTTCTGCTTTCAGTGGATCTTCCCTACATCCATCCCCTTTTCTCCCCTTATCAAAAGAAAACACTCCAGCCCTCTTGCCCATATTGTTCTTTCCTTGAAGTCTCAGGATTACCAGCTGTTCTTAGACCTTCATGCTTCACAAATTCCCTTTCCCGGACTTCAGTTGAACTAAAGTCATTTTGTGGATCATATTTCTCATTTGCCCTGTTAAACTGATTGTTATGCACCCTGGGAAGGGAAGCTGTGTACTGTACAGGGTCTTACTGGGTCCTAGGTCTGAAAGGTGACCACTGTTTTAGTACGGTTATTTTATGTGAAAGGATTTGCATTTGTCAGTTATGTAAATAAAAACCACAATTCCATTAGTGTGAAATTTTCTCTTTGATGTCCTTTTAAGAAGTGAAAGAGATAAAAGTCATTATTAGTAAAATACTGTATGAAAAATCAAAGTGAATGAATATAATTTGGGGGTAAACTATGTCTATATGTTGCAGGTTCCTTGCGGCTTATAAAGGATACTTATAAAAGGATACTTGTTATAAGATGTGAACTTTTTCATGGAAAAATGAAAATTTTCAGAAGTAGTTAAATAACTGTACTTTATTCTTCATTGGTGGTACCATTGCCCCCTCAAACTCAGTTGTAAAGTTAATTAAAATATTTGAAGGAAAACAAAAAAAAATTTTTAGTTTTAAAACTTGTTAAGGGTATTGACCTAATTATTTTAGTCAAATGTTTGCCAACTGCATGTTAAGGAAAACTTAGCTTAAAACTTTTATGATGGCTATATAAAGTATAAAATTCATGTACTTCTGCTTCAGATGAGTTGTATTTGCTATTCTTTGTATGCTCTAAAAAGTTTATTGGATAATTGTATTTAATTGAACAATAAGCTTTAATTGCTGCTTTGTCAAATTAGAGCCTGTAAGGCCATGTCAGAATTACTGGCCAATTAATTATGCCACCTTAAAAACCTGTTGGACTGGGAAAGCTAATTTACAAAAGTGACGTATTAACTGTTGGTTAATTTTGCCATCCACACCTAGGCTCCTACACACCATGTTTTATCCAGTATTCGTTGGGCCACGATAGCATGGCTTAGTACATTCGGTCCTCATTTTTCCCGGATTTCATATTTGCAGATCTGCCTACTCGCTAAATTTATTTGTAACCCCCAAATCAATACAGTGCTTTCATGTTCATTTATGTATGGCATAAGGAGGGAATTTGAGTTGCCCAACTGCGAGTTTCCAGCTGAGGTTGAACAAGGGGACATTCTCTCTTCTTGTTTCAGGTCTCATACTATAAACATGTTCTTTTTGCAGTCCATGTAATGCCATATATTTTGCATTTTTGTTCCTTTTGTTGACAATTTCTCTGTTTAAAATGGCCCCAAGTGTAGTGCCAAAGTGTTGTCAAGTATTTCTATATGCAGGAGGGCTTTGATGTACCTTATGGAGAAAATACTGTGTTAGATAAGCCTCATTCAGACATGAGTCATAGGGCTGTCAGCTGAAACTTCATTGTTAATAAATCAACAATATACATATTAAATAAGGCATCTTTAAACAGAAACACACATTAATCAATGTTATGTATTGATCAGTTAATGAAACTATGTGACCAGAGGCTTGCAAGAACCCAACCTTGTGTTTCCTCTGTCAGCAATGGTTCCGTGTTCTCTAATTCTGTGAATAATGAGAATCAACTGTATTTGTGTTAAAGGCTAGGGCCTTTATGTCAGTCTGGTTTTAATTTTTAAACATTTTGTTCTCATTTGCAAATTGTGCTCTGCATCTTTAGGACTGATGAAGTACTTGCCTAATCAAGGTACAAATATCCTTCTTAATCTACTGTTGTAATAATGTGGCCTGATAGGATCTAGGGCTAGATTGGGTAGTGAAGAAATAACTCTGGGACAGGAGAAAGTCTTTGATTTTTAAGAAATACAAGTTTTCCAAAGAGGCAAGTATTTACTAGATTGAATTTTAGCATCTTAATAAAAATGTAGGTTCTCCCAGAGGGTATTTTCGACATCTGTTGTCACTGAGAATTTTATTTAAATAATAATTATTTAATGAATAGATTAAATTACAACTTAAATCCAGAATCTAGATAGCAGTATCTTTTATCTGTAAAAACTACATTATTTTAAATAAAACTTCAGTGCTTGGCCTTCTCATATCCTTTGTTTTAATGGCATGCATTCTATATCTTAAAGCATTGTATGAAATCTAAAATCAGAACTGTCCAAAAAGTTCTCCAGGGTTCTTTGTGTTTAGAGTTTTTGTTACTGTTTTTGTGGTGGTTGTTACTTCAATTGCCTTGTTCTCTTAAATTTCTTTACGTATTTTTCTTGGCCAGTTCTATACTGAACTGGTATTTGATATGCCAAGAACTCAGGCATTTGATATTTTTAAATTTTATTTATTTATTTATGTATGTATGTATGTATGTATGTATGTATGTATGTATGTATGTATGGCTGTGTTAGGTCTTCGTTTCTGTGCAAGGGCTTTCTCTAGTTGCGGCAAGTGGGAGCCACTGTTCATCGCAGTGCGCGGGCCTCTCACTCTCGTGGCCTCTCTTGTTGCGGAACGCAGGCTCCAGACGCGCAGGCTCAGTAATTTTGGCTCACGGGCCTAGTTGCTCCGCGGCATGTGGGATCTTCCCAGACCAGGGCTCGAACCCGTGTCCCCTGCATTGGCAGGCAGATTCTCAACCACTGCGCCACCAGGGAAGCCCTGATATTTTTAGAGAATTTTAAAGCAACGTAAAAGATTTTCGTTTCTAAAATTTATGAAACTGATAGTTGCAAGTCGTGAATTTAAGCCCTGCTTCTGCAGTCGTTTAGCTCTTAGTTAAAGGAGATCATTTAACTGTCTTGATGCAAGAACAGACCAAACGCCCTGGAAATCCACTGTGGCTTATAAATTACAAGGTTTGATGCCTGGGTAGGGTTAATATTTTATTTCAGAGGAGCCAAAATGCTTTTCTCCTCAACTTGCCTGCCCTCCATTGAGTCTTCTCTCACCTCCCCTTACATCAGTTTACTGGTGGCTGATAAGGGATTAGAATCCTATTCTTCTTCTTCTCAGCCATGTGACCTTGGAAACTACTGTGAGTTGATTTGCTCTTAAAAGTTCTATTCAGTTTACCAAACCTCTTTGAAAGCCCTTATTACCAGACCCTGTGATAGGCATCAAGGGTACAGAGAAGGAAAGAAACCATTCCTCTGACCTTAATCTCAATTTCTAATCCAATAGAGAAGACAGACAATAACAAGTAATTGTAATAGAGTGTTACAGTTATAATAGAAGCAATATGTACCAGGTTGGGGGGGAGGGTTGTTTGTTTTGCACCCCTCAAAAACCAGTGTGATTAATTCTGTTTGAGTAGCTAAGAAAATAGATAGAGGAAGAGGTGCTCCTTGCTCGGAGTTGAGAAGAATGACTAGTAGTTTACCAGGTCCAAGTGTGGGAAGCATACAGGCACAACAAGGGCCTTTGCAATGCCTGTTGGCACAAAGGAACACGGTATTGTATATGTTCAGAAAACTAAGAAGTATTGTATATAGACAAAACATAGAGGATGTGTGTTAGGTGATAGATGTTGGAGTGTTCTATCTGTATGCTATGCTGAGGAATTTTTTAAATGTATTATGAAATTCAAATACACAAAAGGAGAGAATAATGTAATAAACGCCCATGTACTTATCACCTAGTTTCTATTTGTAGTATTTAAAAGCAAAGTTCAGACACTCATTATTTCACCTATTAAATACCTGCTAAAGAATTTCAACTCTGCACAGTGGAGAGTTTTAAACAAAGGATCAAGGAACGGAAGTCTGCAGCTCATCAAGGTTCTCTTGAAGGTATGTGGAGGACAGATTGGAGGGAACTAGGACCAGGGGCGGGAAGCAGTTAGAAAGCAGTTTAATTTAAATCCAGGCAAGAAATGCTGAAGAGTGTCACACAGCAGGGGATGGATAAAGAGAAATCATTACAAGAGAATGGTCTGAAAAATCGCCTTGGGGAGTGGAGGGATGATGGGAAAGCTTTGGACAGCTTCTTAGCAAAGATGGGAAGTGTGGGTGTTTGGTCAGGTTTATAGGGAACAGTGTGCATGTTAAATGTCGAAATAGGGAAGTCCATTTGGCTGTAGGCACAGAGCTCAGAAGAGATATTGCAAAGCTGTTCATAATGTAGGTGGTGGTGGCCATGTGTGCAGACAGAGCATGTAAAGGAAGGATGATAGCACCAACAGGGTCTGAGAGGCAAGCCTGTGGCCACCTCAAAGGGCCCTGATTTCAAAAAGGAAATAGATATGGAAGTGGCCAGCAGGCAGAGTGACTGGCAAATTGTGAGGAAGTGGTAAATGTGAGTTTCTTCCTTTGCTTATGTGTGGTGTTCTTGCTTCCCCTTAGCCTCAACTCTTTTTTCAAATCTTATGCAACTTGCATTATCTCTGTCCTAAGTTCACCAGGCAAATGGAACTTTAAATTTGATGGCAAGAAAATTTGCTTTTCTTATGGACATTTAGTATATGCATACTTATCCTGCTATCCCTATTAGTTTATCCCTTTGAGAGCAGAAGGTGTGTATTCATTTGAGTGTCTTCACTTCGGTTAATTCAGAGCTTTGCACGTGATAGATATGGTATACATATTTATTAAAATGAATTAAGTGTCTGGCTCCTTTCCATACACTTGGTGTGTGTTCACGTTATGGGCCAACTGTGGGTGTATATATTTTACATCACCTCTCTTTTCCAGTTTCTCCCAGAAAATGAGCTCTTAAACCTTTCTTCCCTCTCAAACAGCACGCTTAAAAATTTTGTTAGTTTTTTTTTTTTTTAATGACAGGTTATATTTAATGTTTCAAATTACTCTGTTTTGGAGCCACTGAAATGAATTGGAGCATTTAGAAATACATTTAGAAAATAAGAATTACAAGTAGTTGGGGGATCACATTATAAATCTGACCTTTGCTTCTGCTTTTTCTCCAGGGCCTGCTCTCTTTTCTGAGCGCCCCACTCATAGGTGCGCTGTCTGATGTGTGGGGAAGGAAGCCCTTTCTCCTCGGCACCGTCTTCTTCACCTGCTTCCCAATTCCACTGATGAGGATTAGTCCATGGTGAGTGGCTAGGTCCTCCATCATGACTGTCTGTTTTGGGTCACATGTGGACAGTACACCTGCAGTGTGCTTTTTAACTTTTGCAAAACAGCTGTACCTGTGTTTTCATTTGAACTCTTTGGTTATACTGAAAGCTAGTAGGCAGTTGCCATCATGCCCACCTAAGTTCTTCACTTAGGTGAAGAAATAGAAAGAAAAGATGTCTCTAAGGGCAGCTATTGTTGCCATGAGGTAAGTTACAAGATTAGGTCCTAGGAGGGGGCACACAATCCCTGTACTCACTCAATTGTGGCTCATTTGACTTTGAAAATGTGTTGTTTTTGTCAGCTCATTGCTCTAGGGCACTGACATGAACATAGTTTATATCAAAAGGCAGGAGTCACTTTTGTGTGTACTGTATTAAGACCAATAACCTATTCTAAATCATAATGTGAATTTTAATTTGATCTCATTTTTTCATGATAAATAAGGAGAGAATAGTTAGCATGTAACCAAGGCTATTTAGTTAATAAAAATGGGTTGGAATTTGCACCTGAGCAGTAACTTAGTTTTTCTGGAGTACAGAGGATGGTATTTTGGCCAAAATTCCTGTTGCTGAGATGCTATTCCTATGTGAAGAACATACTTTAGAATGGAGGGTTTTTGTGTTTCAGTTTTTTGGGTTTTTTAAAAAAAATTCAATTAATAGTTTCAGAGGGGGGTGCTCATGTGAAAATACTCTCATTTGATTATTTGATAGAAATTTTAGGTCAACATTTGTCATGTTCCAAATGTGTTGGCTATCTATAATGAATCATTTTATTTCCTACCAGATAAATTTTTATAAAATACTTTTTGGTATTGAGTCTTTCTGTCCAAGAACAAGTCATGCTTTTCTGATGAATTAGGGTTTTTTTTAATGTCCTCTCAATACCTTAAAATTATTTTCTTCAGATCTTTAAATGATTTTACCTCTTCTCTTCCAGTTTTCATGCTGCTGCTTCTGCTACTTGTGTAGACTAATGAATAATGTTAAATAAAAGTAATGATTATGGACCTATCTAGGACCTATCTACCTCATATATATGAAGGAAATATAATGTTTCATCATTGAGTATTAAGCTGCCTTTTGGGTTTAAAAATACTTGTTCCTATTTTATTTAGAGATTTTCTTTTTTAAAATCAAGGTTGAATGTCAAATTTTATTTGATGCCTTTTGCATCAGTGGAGATCATTTGAATTTTCTTAGATCTACCAGCATGATGAAGCATATTAATAGATTTCTAATATTGAAACATCCTTACCTCCTAGGATTAAACCCTACTTTTTGTTCTGTGAGATTCTGTTTGCTAATATTTTAACTAGATTTTTTAAGCATCTATGCATATGATAGAAATTTTTTGTCTTAATTACATTAATTTTTAAAATGCTTCCTGCATTTGTGTATATGTATTATTCTTAGCTAAAGCTAGGAAGTTTAGAAATTTTTAATTTCTGTTCTGGCTACCTTTAAAAGTATAACTTTACTGCATACCCTTACTCTTTCATTTTTTTAAACTGCATTTACTGAAACCCCTTGAACAATGACAAAATTAGTATGTTTCTCCTTCCTCTCCATCTTGATTATAATTTTATTAGTTGTCCTCTATATCTTTAAATATACATGTATTTTTAAAATTTATTTGTTGGTTTATAGTCTTTACATGATATCTTTGGCTTTGGTTATAAAAGTGTGTATACACTACCTCTCTCATGGGTGTTTAAAATAATCTTTTTATAGGTGGTATTTTGCAATGATTTCCATTTCTGGAGTCTTCTCAGTCACGTTCTCTGTGATATTTGCCTATGTAGCTGATGTTACTCAGGAGCATGAGCGAAGTACTGCTTATGGATGGGTAAGATAATAGATTGTTTTTTAATCAGAGAAATAATGGACATTCTACTAAAAATTCACTGGAAAGTGAGATTTTATTAAAATAGTGTTAAATATTGACTTATGTAAAAGAAAATCCAAAGCAATTGAAATGAAAAAGGAGACTTATGAGAAGTTAAAAATAGCAAGATAGAAATTGCTAGTAATTTATTTTCTGGTTTTAGTGTTGGAAGATTGGCAGGATGTGTTGAGTTGTCAGTTGCAAAGTTTTTTTAAAGTTGGTTTGATTTGTTTCTTGTTAGCTAATCTCTTGAGGAAACGTGACAGTAAACAAGTGCTAGGATCATAGGTCTCTGTGTACCTAATTAGAATTGGAGAGGTGATAAAACCTCAGCCATGTTAATCCATTGTTACTGTATTGCTAGTTGTGTGACTCAGGCACTTATTTGGGACATGGTACTACAGAAAAAAGGACTACATTCATTCAGCAAATAATTGCTGAGTGTAAAACAAAAGTTATAGGAGAACTTTTCTGGGTAATTGACAATCATTTCTAATTTTCTTAGGCAAGATAATGGCACTGTGGTTACATAGGAGAAGAAAGACCTGTAGAAGATGGCAGGCTGAAGCCATTTAGGTCAGAGTGTCACAACTCTGAAAATTACTTAAGTGGTTCAAGGGGAAAAGATGACAGGCGAGCATTTGTGGGTATGTGTCCAGTGTGTGAACCTCTTGGGGTAATTGGGTGTGGACAGGAAAATTTTTCCCTTCTTCCCTTTTAGGTTCTTTGGCCAGCATAATAATTAAATTGTCGTAAGACAGATTAACAGGAGAAAAACAAATTTAATTTCATTTGTATGGGAGTCCCACAAAGATGTGAGATACTCAAGGAAAGTCAGGCAATTGAGGCTTATATACCATCCTGAGCTAAGGAGAAAGAGGGTAGGGGTCTGGGGCTTCAAAGGGAAGGAAGACAATTCACAGGAAGATGAGAGCAAATATCTGGTAAACAAATGTTTGCCATTCCATGCAGATAAGTCTGATATAAAAAGTTATCTTTACTATTTGCTCTCTTCCTGGCATAGGCCTCCTGTCTAAATTCTTTTAGGCTGTTAAGGGAAAGGTAAAAAGCTTTTCCTGAGTCTCCTGGGTCTTAATTGCCTTCAGCTAAAAACAATCTACATGCCAAAGTGGCACATTTTGGGGTGGCTTATTCTGCTCCCCTTCAGTGTGCAGTGTGCTCTTCTCTCCACTTTCCTGTGTTTGAAATGTTTATAGTAAGAAGATGGAAGAAGAAAGATGATCTGGCTGGTTTGTTGAATGTTTGGAGGGGGATTGAATGCCAGAAATTCAGGTTACTTCTCTCCTGAGTCTTACTTTTTCTTTTAAATCCCACTTCCTGGAAGACAGTAAGTAGTCATTCAGTGTTGACTGAATGAATAATTGTATGGATCAATGATGGACATATAAGTCAGTCACTGCTGTTCCACAGAACACAACAGCAATTTTTACTTTGTTGACTTTAGACATCAGTAGTTTAAAAACTTCTCCTTCGACCCCACTTACCCTGTAGCTATTACTTGCTCTCTCCTTTCCTTCTTCCCTCCTTCCCTGAACGTTTCTCATGTCATGTCCTAAAACAGGGGCATCTCCAGAGTGCTGCGGAGGAGGACAGAGGGAGAAGCAGATAGGAAGGCTTCAAAGAAGGCAGGGTGTTCAAGGTGGGCTCTCAGGGTCGGTCAGCAGATTTGAGGGGTGCCAGAAGCCTTATTTATCACACTTGTGCAGCTTTTCTCAACATCACAGAAAACACTCATTTCCCTCCAATTTTGTTCGATTTTTGTTCCTTGCTTCCACCAGAAAAACCCCTCATGAAGCTGTTGTGCTAAGCACTCGTACTTAGGAAAGATTTCAGAGAGAGAGAGAGTTCTGCAACCAAAGTGATCATGACTTAGTTCCCCTGTCTCCAGCTCAGTTCTTCATCTGTAAAATGGCAATTATAATAATGGCTGTTCGTAGGTATGTTGAGAGAAGTTAGTGAGAGGAGCGCCCTACTGAAGTGTGCCCTCAGCCAGCATGTAAGGCTTCCTGGACTTGGTCACAGGACCCAGGATTTGGCCAGTGGCTAACCTTTACATTTACCTCTACATGTCAGATGTTGAGATGACAAACCTGAAAAAAGTAAAAGAAAAAAAGCTTGCAGGCTACCTTACAGATACAGGAGGATTTATTGCCAGTTAATTATAGGATTGTCAATCAAGTCTAGCTGAAATTCTAAGAAGCATTTTGAGATCTGTTAAAGAATATATATGTATATCTTCCTTGCTGAAACTCCTCCAGTAAACAAAGAAAAGTGGTAATTTCTTTCAATGGCTGCAATAATGAATTTAAGTTAATGCTCATTGAGAGACTGTTGTGGTGAAGTCATCCTTTAGATTTATTCACCGCTGTCGTATTGAGTGTTAAAGAGGGATTTTAGATAAATACACAAACTAAGCAAGTAGGCTGCTTTAAGTTTTAAGAAAGATGCAACATTTTACATAGAATTTCATGGGGCCATAGATTCTCAGAAACTCATTCAACAAATATTTATTGAGCAATGTAACTAATCAAATAAAACAATTAGGAAACCACTGCTGCTCCCTGTCCCCTTCTGATATTTGAAATTTGGTGACTAACCTTTTTATTTTCATTTCCATATTCCACATGATTAAATTGGCTCTCAGAGTATTCATTATTAAATATTTTAATAACAGATTTTTTCCCACTAAATTCCTATTGTTTCTCACTATTACTACATGTATATAATAATTATGTTTTACTTTTTGCATACTTGAAGAAATTAAACTGATCTTTAAGTGTTATACCTGCTTCAGTGGACCGCTAAGGGAATGGAGGGAGGAAGATTAGGGTATTATAGGTGGGCATTAGTAGACAGAGAGATGGGAGGAGGAAATCCTGAGCACTGTAGGACCTAAACAAATTGGGCTGTGTTAGGAGGAGGGGATAGGCCTGCCCCTCTGTGTCTGAGAGCATTTGCCTTGCGGTACCATCTAAGTCAAGTTATGAAGCTTTCAGGTCTTCAGATACATAGACTTGTAACTAATAATGCTCATGTCTTTTTCGTGGTTTGCAAGACTTAAAGATTCTCATTAAGATTTCTGCCTTTGGTAATTTCTCCATGGCAGTGTACAAATGTTTGAATTATGGAAATACCAGAAAATAGAGCACTTCTCCCTTAGAGCAGTGTTGCAGGATACATCACATGGATAGGAAAGATGAATTTAAAAGTTTACCATGGTTTGGAGTGCATCATTTATTGATAATGAGCATTAATCTCATAATCAATCATTCTTTATCCCTCTTGTTTATATCTGAAGTAGTTACTGTATCCCCTTCAAATTTGTGGGGGAGCTTAGTAAAGAAGGCAGTCATTTTCTATTCAAAACTGATGTATCGTGTATTCTTATATATTAAATTATTGTTATATAGATAATAATTTAATTCCATTGTTCTTTTTTTTTGCGGTATGTGGGCCTCTCACTGTTGTGGTCTCTCCCGTTGCGGAGCACAGGCTCTGGACACGCAGGCTCAATGGCCATGGCTCATGGGCCCAGCCGCTCCGCGGCATGTGGGATCCTCCCGGACCGGGGCACGAACCCGTGTCCCCTGCATCGGCAGGTGGACTCTCAACCACTGCGCCACCAGGGAAGCCCAATTCCATTGTTCTTAATGACCAAATCTTGAGTTATTGAACAGTCTTTATCTTAGAAAATGTCCAATTGTCTAGAATAGAATTATGATAGAATTAGAAATGTCTTTGACAAATAACGAAATAAATGATTGAGTGTTTTCTTCTGTATACTCCATGATCTTTAGATTCTTTACACTTGGAATGCTGTGGAATTATAGAAGCAGTTTTAGCTGAAATTTAGGTCTAAGTCTGACTGTGCATTTTAGTGAGAAAGATTAATTTGAGAAATTGGAAAATGGCTTCCAGTTCTTGCTCATCTATGTGAACTTAAGACATATATTGTTTCTTTATTTGTACATTGAGTTGTAGAATATCTTCTCAATTTACATACAGTAATTTGATAAGGATTAAGTAGTGGAAAACTGTTATGAATAAATGAATGAATGACCCATTTTGTGCAGGTATGATGTTGTTAGTATTAGCACCTGAGGACCCTGCAGCAGTGCTTCCGTAGCACGTGAGGATGCTGCAGGAGCGCTCCCATAGCTGTTTGCATGTCATTGCAATTTATAATATAAAGTTACATGATTGCCTTGATCTTCTTAAATAAAATGAAAAACCCTGAAGGGCAGGAGCTCTGTCTTCTTGTTTATCTGGCACATAGTAGATGCTCAATAAATATTGAACCAGGGAATTCCTGTTCCCCAAATTAGAATTCTCTATACTCCCTTTTTTTCTCCAGAAATTTTTTTACTTTTGGCTTTTATAATATTTTTAGTATAATACTAATTTCCAATACATTGTATTATCACATTCAGTTGGGGGGTGATGGATGAAGAAAAAATGTTATTGGCTACCCAGGAGTCATAATTTCAATCATAGATAATGATTTCTGTAGTTTCTATTAAAATCCATTAGAAGTTTAAATAACCAACTTATTATAAATGTGCTTTTGACACTCAGTCTGGTTATAATTTGGAGACTGCCCATTTAAGCTTCTGAACATTCAGATTACATTTCAGAATAAAGGGAGCTTTCTACGTGCTTGTAGGAAAGCAGTGTGAAGAAGCTTCACATGGATTCAAGTTGCAAGGGTGATCAGTTGAGTCAGTGGTTTCTGGTATTAGGTGGAGGTTGGGGATGACAGCATGACAAAAGTCCCTAGCCTGGGGATTTCTCCATTTAAAAAGCTTTGACATCTCCCTCAACAAATCTTTTTGGATTTTTTGTTGTTGTTATAGCTTTTTCTAAGATTACCAGAGATTTTCCCCCCTCTCAGTGCTTATTAAATGGTGAAACAGTACATGTTTTTGGAAGATGAAATCAAGCCTAGTCTCTGAGTAATTTGTAGATTTTATCATCAACCCTGCAGAAATTTTTTTCATACCTTTCTCTCTACATCCCCATTCCCCAAATAAAGAAGACTAAAACATGTATATTTTATTTATGGGGAAGGTTTTACAATTTTTATTTCTAACAAATCATTATTTTGTATTCTTGTAGCTTTCTAGAATAACTCCAGTTAGTTAATAGCTTATGAACAAGTCCTTAAAACAAAATTACTTTCATTCTTTTTCATTCTTAAAAGTTGTGTGCAACACAATCCTTTTGTCTTTTTAAAGCCAGGGATGGATGGCTTTAGGTATGTACCTGTGGGAACCTGGATGAAAACAGGAATATAGCTGCACACCTGCAGCAGATGGGACCCTGGGTGAGAGTGTGCTTTTTCCATAGGTCTCAGCCACATTTGCAGCCAGTCTGGTCAGCAGCCCAGCCATTGGAGCATACCTGTCCGCCAGTTATGGAGACAGCCTTGTTGTGCTGGTGGCCACAGTGGTGGCTCTTCTGGACATCTGCTTCATCTTATTGGCTGTTCCAGAATCTTTGCCAGAGAAAATGAGACCTCTTTCCTGGGGAGCTCAGATTTCTTGGAAACAAGCAGACCCTTTTGCGGTAAATAAAAACATGAAAACATTTACTTTCCTAAATATCTTTCTAAGCCATGCAAATAAAAGAACATTCCTGCAGCTTCAAGCATCCTAGCAGTTGTTGATCTATTTTTTTTCTCCAGTAAAAATAGAAAAAATGTATTTGCAAGTAAGGGACTGAGGTAGACTGTATACCAAGGAATATATAGAATTGCTACTTCTTAAGTCAGAAGTGGTTATCCTGTGGGAAGAGACAAGAAATGTCCAGTTTATCCCTGATGAAGACTTGGGAAGGAAGGTTTTTTTTCTTTTTGCATAGTTGTTTTCATCCTTCTTTTAACAAAATAAATGAAAGTGGCCATTTGAAGCGGTTGTTTCGATTCACTTCAATTCAAAAAGGTTAAATGCATTTGGACCGACTAAAGTAGTTATTATCTAAGTTGTTAATATACACCCATGTTGAACAGAGGCTTTGAACTTGTCTTTTGCTGATTGAATAGAGTCTTTGTTTTCTCTTTTGTCATGGGGGAATCCCATTAACAACTAGAAAAAGTACTGAGAAGAAGAATCTTCTCTCCCCACCTTCTCTGGTTTGAAATTGTTCTTGAAGAAAATATGTGCGGAAAAATATAACCAGAGATTTGATATTTGTATTTTTCCCTTAAGTTTACCTTTTAGGAAAAATACATATAAAAAAACTAACTCATGAGAAATTCTTTTCTAAAAAGCTCCCTCATTGTATGACCTGGGGACCCTGCTCATTCTGTTTGCGCTGTAATGTCAGATATCAAGAAATAGGTGTGAAGAAAAGGAAACCAGGAGTGGAGCCAGTCAGACCTCCCACCTTGTCAAGCTACACAGAGAAATTCCTCTGTGAAGTGGAACTATTGTGGCTTACTTTTCAGGGCTGTTATGAGGATTGCAGTGAATGTATATAAATTAACCAGTCTAGTGTCTGGTATATAGCAAGGTCCCAATAGACATTAGCTACTTTTGCTTTTAATTATATGAAGGTTACAGTTATGATCACCTAGAATGCACTGCAGAACTCTACACTCTGTAGACAACTTTTGGTGCACCTTTTGGTCTACTCAAACATCCTGTGTAGAGAGGAGTATAGGATTTTGGACAAGGTTGTAACATTCAAAAAGTTGTTACTGGTCAGAGAATCTTGTCGTCACTGACCCCATGGCTGGAGCATACTTTTTTGTCTACCAATTTTAATGGCAAATTTAATGCTAACATTTAAAAAAATAGAGTAAATTTATGTGTAATGAAAACACTGTACTGTTTATGGCTTTAAAGGAGTTGTATTATGAATGAAAGAGAGAGATGAGATTTTCTTAAAAGGTTCTGGAGCAATGTTTTTTCAGGGTCTGTTCATAGGACGTTCAGGGTCTGTTTCAGGATGTGAACCAGTGTTGTTAACAAAGAGAGAAAGCTGTAATATTTGAAACATACCTCTGAAATTAGGACTTGTAACCTCCTTAAAGAGATGGTGATAGATTTAATGTTAAGGCTCAATTCCTTTTATAATCCATTCATCTTTTGTTATCCACCTTAATAGATCAAAACAGTGCAGCCAATATCCCAGAATATCAGTGACATCAGTATCTATTTGCTTTTTATATGTTTCTGTTTCTGCTTATTCCTAGTCACTGAAGAAAGTTGGAAAAGATTCTACCGTCTTACTAATCTGCATCACTGTTTTTCTTTCATACCTTCCTGAGGCTGGACAGTATTCAAGTTTTTTCCTCTATCTCAGGCAGGTGAGTAGTGAGTGCCTAGTAGCTTTTGAACATGAGGAAAACCAGAGATTGGGATCTGGCTAGAGGTATTTTGTGGGAAAACACTGTAGAGAAAAAAAATGTGTTAACTTGCTTCTAGTTATAAATGTAGGTGCTGACATATAATTAGTAGTCAGGAGACCTTTAGTGCAATAATTTTAAAAACACAATAAAATGTTTACTGTGGAAAAAATTTCTTTGAGAGTTATACAGAAAGAGAATTAGTAAAAACAAAATTTATTAAATCTTTAATAATACCCATTAAATTTCACAGAGAGGTAAAGTTTATTTCAGAAGTGCCCTGACCCCTGGGTCTGATCACAGCCAGCTTGCTTAGCCATCTGTAGTAGGCCATAGCTCAACACCACTGTAGACTTCAAGGTGGCTTACAAACAATAACCAAAATAATCTTTTCTCCCTTCTGATTTTTCTCTTTAAAAATTTACACTTTGGGCTTCCCTGGTGGCGCAGTGGTTGAGAGTCCGCCTGCCGATGCAGGGGACGCGGGTTTGTGCCCCGGTCTGGGAAGATCCCACATGCCGCGGAGCGGCTGGGCCCGTGAGCTATGGCCGCTGAGCCTGCGCGTCCGGAGCCTGTGCTCCACAACGGGACAGGCCACAACAGTGAGAGGCCCGCGTACCGCACAAAAAAAAATTACACTTTGTCCTCCCCAAAAGGCAATTGACTTACAGCAATTAAAAAAAAAAGTTCCCTTTTCCAACTGTTGTTTTAGGTCTCTGGGATTGCTAAGACCTGAGTTGCCTTCCATTGCAATCCTGTCTTGGTCTTTTACTGATTTCACTAGAAGTCCTCCTCCTAAGATAAATTCCTCTATTTTTTAGAGATATTTTTAAATAAAATTTGTTAAATTCTCCGTTCTCATAGTTTTCCTGAGAGTATGAGACTATAATATTTTATATGGTGGCACGTTTAAGTAAAACTTTTTTCAAGCAGTTTTATTTTTGCTTTGCTCATTATGGTGGGTGGATGCTGGAGATTCGGACGGAAGAGTGGTGAGATAGTGTGGTTAATGTAGAAAATTATATATGCATATATTAAATTACATTAAATTTGCATTTAATATAGAAAATAATGTAGGAAAAATGGGAAAGTCCAAGGAAGAAAGTGAAAAAACATGTCTCCTTTTCAAAGTGTTCAACATAGAGTTCCCAGCAAATCTATTTCTAGGTATATAGCCAAGAGAATTGAAAACATATACCTATACAAAAACTCTTACACAAATTATTATTCATAGTAGCCAAAAAGTAGAAACAACCCATATGCCTATTAACTGATGAAATGGATCAACAAATGTGAAATATCTATACAATGGAATGTTATTATTTGGCAGTAAAGAGCAATGAAGCACTGGTACACACTACAACACGGGTGAACTTTGAAAACATTATAAGTGAAAGAAGCCAGACCATATATAGTATGATTCCATTTGTATGAAATGCTCAGAATAAATAAGTCCATAGAGATAGAAAGCAGATTACTGGCTAGGTGGTAGAGTAGGCTGGGGGAATGGGAATCCTAATGGGGTACGATGTTTCTTTGAGGAGTGATGAGAGCTTTTAAAATTGGTCATGGTGATAATTCCCAACTCTGTGAATATAAAACTAAAACCATTGAATTGTACACTTGTAATGGGTGAATTGTATGGTATTTTAATTCTGTCTCAATAAAGCTGTTTTAAAAAGTATATTTACGGGGGGGTGTGGGGAAGGATGGATTGGGAGTTTGGGGTTAGTAGATGCAAACTATTACATATAGAATGGATGGACAACAGGGTCCTACTGTATAGCACAAAGAACTATATATTCAGTGTCCTGGGATAAACCGTAATGGAAAAGAATATAAAAGAGAATGTATATTATGCATAACTGAGTCACTTTGCTGTATACCAGAAACTGATGCATTTTAAATCAACAATACTTCAATTAAAATATATATATATATTTACAAATTAGACTGAGAAATAGATTCCAATTCTTAAAAATTGCATTTGATTAGAGAGTAATAGGATATTATTAATGTCAGCAGCACTGGTTTGGGAACCAGAGGTTCTAGCTCTAACTCTTTTTATTAGCTAGTTGTGTAACTTGAAGCAAGACGGTCATTTATGAAATGTGAAGATTGTATACAATAATTTTTAAAGCTTTTTTTGGAATTTTATAAAGTTTCAATAGATAGAGCAAATAAAAACTTGATATTTAAAACTTAAAAGTTTTAGTAGGCATTTCGGAGCTGCTGTTAAGATTAAGAGGCTTAGAAATCATTACCAGCTAACTTTGGCTGCTCATTAGAATTAGAATCACCATGGAAGCTTTTTAAAACATACCTGTGTCTGGGCCCAGAGAGTCTGATTTAATTGGTCTCAAGTGGATTCCAGCATCTCATTTCTCCTCTCTCCCTTCTTCTCTTCTCCCCTTCTCTGTTGCTCACATGATTTTAATGTGCAGCCAAAGTTGAGAGCCACTGACTTTGCCAGTGAGCATACTCTGTGTTGGCAGCATCAAAAATCGAATCATTTTCTTCATGTTCTCTCCAACGCTTGATAATGTTATGTTTGTCTCTTGGTGGGTTGCAGATGGGGATGGATATGAAAAAAATAGGTAGGCCTACAATAGAAAATATTATCTTAATATTTAATATTTGTTAAATTAAGTTGTGCCACTTATAATGATTTCTTATGACAGATTTAGATATAAATTATTGGTTAAATAGGTTCAACTTTGAGCACTGCCTAATTTGCCATTGTCAAGGTTTTATGAACTTTCCTCAACTATTTTATTCTATGGCTTTAATGGAACATAACATTCCTTATTTTTATAATATCTGTATTACAAAGTGTTTTCATTTCCACAGGTCATAGGTTTTGGATCTGTTAAAATTGCAGCATTCATAGCTATGGTAGGAATTCTTTCTATTGTGGCTCAGGTGAGTGTTATTTTACCCATCCTTTTTTTTTTTTTTTTTTAATGTTTTTAATCTGAAGTAACTGTAGATTCATAGGAAGCTGCAAAGAAATATTCATGGAGATCTCCTGCACCACTACCTCAGTTCCCCTCCTCCTCTGCCATGGTAACATCTTGTGTCCTGTGGTACAATATCAAACCCAGTAAACTGACAATGGATACAGACCATAGAGTTATTCCATTTTTAATAGAATCTTAAGGTTATGATTTAGGAGGAATTTAACACAACTTTTCAATACTTTGTAGAGCATGTGTTGTTACCTCTAATGGATCAATTCAGCAAATAAAAATTTGCTTTTACAACCACCAGCCACAATCTAACTCCAGTATTGCAAAATTAACCAGAAAAATGTTTCAATATTATTTTAATATTGAAAAGTAATGAAGGTGAAAAGCAGAAATGAAATTTTGTAACTATTACAATCCTTGCTATCCCCAGGACTGAAGAAATGGTGATAAGTCAGTATGTTAGGATATATGTAATGAGTAAAGAGTATTTATTAAACGTTTCCCCATCTATTATAGGACCACAAAAGACAGGGCATATGTGCTTTAAATTAATTCATTGATATGCTTAGGTGCATTCACTATATCATATGGGACTATTATGAGGCTATTTTCCTGGAACAGCTATATGCTGCTTTAAAGCATGGTAGGCCAGGTGGAGCATTCTTCTGTGATAACTCTTTCAAAGAGAAATGAGAAGCCTGCAAAACTGTTTTGCCCAAATATTAGAATTGACAAGGCTTATAGGAATGCATCAAACCAAGGGTCTTTTTTTTTTTTTAACTGTATCAGCAAATGTAAATTATGTTAAACTTTCAAGTTGCTTATGATTTTGGCTTGTTTTTTATATTAACTCTGGTTAGTCAGTTAGCCCAGATTCACCTTTTATCCTATGCCTTTTCAGGCTATATCACCTAAGTTTTTAGTAGAGTATATATTTGTTAAAATCACATTTGTATCAGTCCAACTTTGTGAAACTGTTAACCCCCACCAAAGTCCCACATACTCTGTAAATGTTCATCAGGGGTTTGCTATTCACTGGTGGTTAAATTATTGGCATTTCTCCAAAGAGACAGAGGCATTTTCTTCTCAATCACAGTAACTGTTGAACAGCTGTGATGACCTTTTGGGAAGTGATAAGCACCAGATAAACAGGTTTCTGGGGAGGAGGCCAAAGGCCCTGAGCCCAGGTTAGTCTGGGAAGGCCCCGAAGTTTCACCCCTTTTGAGCTACATCAGTACTGCACGGCCTCCAAGGTCTTAGGTCAGGTGGTCTGCTATTTTGAGATTCTTGGTCACCATTAATGGGCTTCCCCACAGAACTTGCATCAGATCTTGTGCTTGTGTTCATATGATTACTCAGGATTATCCCCTTTGCTTTGCAGACGGTCTTTCTTACCATCTTGATGAGGTCATTGGGGAATAAGAACACCGTTCTCCTTGGTTTGGGTTTTCAGATGTTCCAGTTAGCCTGGTACGGTTTTGGATCTCAGGCATGGTAAGCCTCTCCCATAGATTCTTATGAACTAATAGATGTATCTTTTAGAGGAGCTCGAATTAGTTGAGTGTGATGTGAAGGAAGCAGGAGTTATTTTACTGGCATAGTGTATTCAACATTTCAAAAACTGTTTAGACTTAATTTGGGGAAGGGTAGAGCTGGTAATTTAGGATTATTTGGATAGATTGCCTTCACCTCAGCAGGCTTTCAGTGAGTTGTTACTTCCTCCGACCCTCCAAAAAAAGTTTTATGCCTAATTTTTAAACACATTTGTCAATTTTTGGAGACAACACATTATAGGCAAAAACAAAACAAGAAGACAAGGAAAAATGACTGATTATGGTGGGATTTATTACTATCATTAGCTGAGTGACTTTGGACAGTGACATAACCTTTATAATACAAAGCATATGAGTTAGATGAACACTGAGATCTCCTCCAGAATCTTGTATATCCTGATCAGTTATTACTCCTAATGTATTAGATTCCCATTAAGAGGAAGGAAGGTCAAATTAAGCCCTGTGGAATAAGAAGAAATAAAAAGAATTTTGAGTGCTATTTTGTTGTGTGGCAAGTTTCCCTATGTGCCTGGCTACCAAATACTAGAGTCCATATCTCCGTTTTAGATATTTGAGTTGGTCCCCATTTTGCAGTCATAAATGGATGACACAATTTAGAAGAACTCGAAATGCTTTAGGTGGTCAGTGGTTGATTCTTTTTGTTCTTGGAAATCTTAATTTCAGTCCCATGAGCTTTGGTTCAGTAGCTGATTCAGTCAAACTCATGCTACCTTAGAAAGATTCTGTCGACCTAAAGGGTTTTTCCTTTTAAGTAAGGACGTGCATGTCATCCCCAAGAGAGTCTGGCCAAGCAGGTTTTAAGCCCAGTTGGGGCCTCACTTTGCTCACACTCAACGCCTAATACTGACACACATGTAGGTCCCTTTCATTGAGAAAAAAACAAAGGTCTAAAGGAAGCACACTTGGAAGTCTGCAGGATGTCATCCTGAACTTCAGGTCTCTGAAGTGTTATGTGCCACCAACTTTTTCTGTAGGTGACACACAACACTTTATTGAGGGGTAGAAAACTGAGCAGCTCAAAGACAGTATGGAGGTGAGCCTTTGAGAAGTACAAAGAAAAAAGTGGAAAATTGGTAGTGAAAATGTGGTATTTATAGGAACAAGAAATCCTTTTGCATTTCATTGAGCTTGCATCTAAATACGGTAATAGGGAAACTAGGAAGAAGAACAGATTTGACAGAGGTAAAATAAAGAAATGAAACTTTCCCAGCCCGTGAAGTGATCAGTATAAACAGATGCATAACCTTCTAGGTTAAAAAAAAAAATCCATTTTTAAAGAGGAAAAAAATAAATGCAACTTAACACAAGAAAACAGAAAGCATTTAGTGCTTTTGCCGTTGATTGTACTCTGAACAGTAAGCTCATTGGGGCTGGCCTGCTCCCTGACCGCAGCCTGTCCTGTCATTGCAGGATGATGTGGGCAGCAGGGACCGTGGCCGCCATGTCCAGCATCACATTTCCAGCAGTCAGTGCCCTCGTCTCTCGGAATGCAGAGTCAGATCAGCAAGGTGAGGTCACTGTTTTCCTCCTTCAACGGAGACGTACCTGCCATAAGCATGAGCAACTCTGAACCCCTCTTCACATCAACAAAGCAAGAGGTTACAGCCATGTGGTCCCTGCTCAGCAATCATACCTATTTACTTTGGCAAATAGGAAAATTATGTTTTCCTTCCTACTTTGATCTTTGATCATATTTTTGAAATCTGGACTCAGCAGGTCAGAATACTAAGACAACTATCCATTTTCTCTTTTCAGTTTTGACTCCTCTTTTATTTGTCACCGTTAGAATTTACTAGACTTTAATCGACTGTAATCATATTTTAACAGACTAGTTAGTAAAACAATGAGTTCTTTATTTAATCACTGAAATTTCTTTAATTTGGAATCACTCAAAGTCCATTACTCAATTTAGGAAATGATTCTTTGAGTGGATAAAGAAAAATAAATCTGAGTAGTTCTTGATAATTGGATGCAGAGTGAGAGACAAAATTAAGATGACTGTGTAGAGTAGCACTCTGTCTAGACTCCTCCTTCATCCTTCTTGTGCCTCTGGCTTCCCTATCAAGCAGTTCCTACTGCCAAAATTAGTCCTTTTCTTTCACCATCACTTAATGGCTTACCTGACTGTAGTCAGGAAGTAGTGAATTTTAGAAGAAAAAAATTTTAATGCCTTAGAGATATTTCTAAAGTTTCAATAAAAAACTAGATTGGAAAAGCTAGTTTATTCATTGCAACTATTTTTCTGCATCAGAAATTAGCCATCTTATTCATATCTACTTTTTTTTTAATCTTTTTTTTTTTTTTTAACAGTAGGTCCTTTTAAATATAGCAGTATCATTTGAAGACCACAAATTCTGTGTGTTACCCTGGTTATGTTAACTTAGCTGACTGCATCCTTGGGGAGGTGTTGTGCTTGAAGTAAAGGCATGAGCTATCTGTGAAGGATGGGCATTGCCTTGGCATCTAGGAGACATATCCTATCTCTCAGGGCATGAATTTTCTTTGACTTTTTTTATACTTACATGTATTAATACAGATGTTTCTAAATGTCAGCATATAAACTTATTAGAACACACTGTATTAGGTTGAATTATATTTGACCATTTTTGATTTACAGAAACATTCATCTCATGATTCAAGCTAATTTTTGACCTGCCAAATTAGATACCAGAGATATCTAGAAATTAGCACTTGGATTTTTCAGTAGAGGTGTACAGGGAGATGGACCTGGAGTATGGAGGTCACTGTGAGGAACAGAATCTGTCTGAAGGTGCTGGGAGCACACAGCATCAGGACCTCTGTGGACTCACACATGGGCAGGGATACGAGAGGCAAAGGGCAGATTTTTATTATAAAAGTGCCATTAAATGAGTAGAAAAGGAAAATCTCAATCCACAGAAAAGTGTAAATTACCTATAAATGGAGAATATTAAAACTTTTTTATTATTCCCTGATTATAGGAAGATCTGCTGTTAGGGAATTCAGCCTCAAAAGGATTTTAGAAACATCACTGTCATTTCATACCCTATAGATCATTGAGTGAGGACAACATTAAAAGGACATAGAAAACCAAGGAAACATTTGTGCAATGAATGAAAATATGATGGGTAAAGTCCCTAAAATCTCCTTTCTACAGCCCAGACTACTCAGTCCAGCAGAAGCAGTATTTCATATTAGTAAGAAAGTACTGATAAGTCTCCAGTCTTGAGACGCTTATCTGAGAAGACTGGCTCCCTTCTCTTTTTTCTGACTTAGGAGTTGCCCAGGGTATCATAACTGGAATAAGAGGACTGTGTAATGGCCTGGGGCCAGCCCTGTATGGCTTCATATTCTACATGTTCCACGTGGAACTGACTGAGTTGGAACTGGAATTGAATTCTAACAATGCTGCCCTGCAGGTAATTTGGTAATAAGTCTAGGTTTACAATAGCAGTTGTGTCTGATTATAGCAAAATCTTCTGACCTTAAATTTGGAAAGTGTTCTTATTTTTATAATACTATTGTATTTGACAGTAGTAAGTGCTATGTTCATTGCTTCCTGGGACTAGGGAGGGATCATTTCAGTGATTTAATATCTTATGTAAAAGATTTGTCTTAACCTTGTTCAGATTCTGTTTTCACCTATATAATTATTCTGATCAGAATGCTGTCCTCTGGTGAAGCTCAGGCCAGATAAAAGATGAAATGACCTAAAATTCCAGCTAGAATTTGAGCTAGAGTGCTTTTTCTACTATTTATTTGCTATTACTTCCCTCCTTCCAAGCTATATTTAATATAGATTTCTATACAAAATTGGAATTAGTGTTCATGTACATAGTTCATGATCTCAGGTCACAGGGCAGGATTAGAGATAAATAACTGTTGTTTACATGTTTACATGTTTGGTTAAGCTGTTGGAAAGTTTGGTTAAGCTGTTGGAAAGTGGTGCACAAAGCAGTGATTAGTTGCCCTCCATCATATTCCAGACGCCAGGCTCTGTTAGAATTTGCTATGACACTTAATGAACATTTGCTTATGAGAAAATAACTCACTTTTCAGTGGTGTGCTTTTTTGGGGTCGTCCAGGACTAATTTTGACTAACCAAATTCTTCATTTGTTTCCCACACCCATCAGGGAGCTGTCATCCCAGGCCCACCGTTTTTATTTGGGGCATGTATAGTTCTTATGTCTTTTCTGGTTGCCTTATTCATCCCTGAATACAGTAAAGGCAGTGGAATTAAAAAACATAGCAACAGCATCAGCGGCAGCCTGACCAACACAATAGAACGAGGCAGTGATGAAGACATTGAGCCTCTACTGCAGGACAGCAGCATCTGGGAGCTCTCTTCCTTCGAGGAGCCTGGGAATCAGTGCACTGAACTATAAACTGCAGAAACTAGAATTCTGTAGACTCCATCTCTGAGAGCCATGGAGGAGCCACACCACACTGGAGACTTCATGGTGCTGGAGGGGAGATACTAGTGGCATGCTTCAGGCCGAGTTTGAGAAGTAACCACCTCCATCCCTCATCTCCCGCCCCTTCCTCCTCCTGTTCCTTTTCTACCATTCTCTTTCTTTCTGTTTATATGTTAGAACAAGTTAAGGTTTGAAATACTTTTCTGCAAATAATATGCAACTCTCAAAGTTATCTGGAGTCCACACTTCGAAACTCAGAAAAAGTCTTCTCTGGTAGAAAGGATGACTTTCCTTTAATAACTCCAGAGTAAGAGTGACCATGTCCTTTTCAGTAGAAGGTGCAGGATTATAGTACAACTGCCTTCTCTGGCAAAATTTGAGATAAAGAATCCCATATTTTCTTCCCTCCTGTTTCTCTGAACTGTGCCTGTTTAGCCCATAGGTGTTTATGAGTGGCTGCTCAGTATCAGGGATCTATTGCCTTTGTTCAAAGGTCAAGCAAATAACTAGTCTTACTCTCCTTTCCTTATCTCTACTTCCTATTCTTGGCTAGAATGAAATTCAGCATATACACATCTGGACAGTAATAATATTGATTAGTGATAACCTTTACCGGATGAAGGAAATTTTTTTAATAAATTTAAATCATGAAGAACTAGCAATTCAGATTCCTGGGCCTAATGTTTTGGTTAGATCCAAGGTGATTTTACAGAAGAAAAACATACATCAGCCATTCTGGTGGCAACATAGAAATTGGAGGGTGCTTGTAAGAAAGTTTTCGACAATGTAAACATTCCTAGGTGAGAATGAAAGTTAGTAACTGGATGCCAGTGGAGTTTATATCCAAGTTTAGACTCATGTAATGCATTTTTACTATATTTGCTCCCACCCACATCTCCTGTGTCTTACTTTTCAGTGTTTCTCATTCATCACACCCCTGCCTTAACTGCTCTATGTAGGCATTTGTTTTCAGTCAGTCTTTATTTTCATCTATGTATCTGCCACTTGAATCTCATGGGAATATGCACAGTAAATTCCTTTCTAAAATATGATGGTTTAAGAAGCTCAGTTTCAAAATAAGTGTCTTGCTAATTTTTCGAGATGTTTTATGGACAAAGAAAACTTTAGATTATATGTGTTTTCCTGCACCAGTAGGTGGACCATTAACTAGGGCCCATCTTTAACACAGCACTCCTTTGAAAGTTTTATAGGTATGAAATATATGTAGATATTCATAAGGAGTTTTAATTTTTTTTTTGATGGGGTGCTATGTAAATCTTGTATTTATAAATGTAATGAAGGTATTGACAGAAAAAAATATATACAACTTTTATAAAGGATTGTGTACTGACTGAATACATTTAAAAGAAAATATATTTTGAAACCTGTTCTGCTGCGAACAAAGATAACATATCTTTTTACTATGCTGTTGGTTTTTAAGTTAAGCTTCCTAATGCATAATAAATTTGCAATGGATACTTTTATGTCTTTTGTGTTTCTTTACAACGAACAGTACCATTGATCTTTGCGTTCTCCTTTGGGTGACTTTCAACTGAAATAAGTTTTTAGTCTTTAAGCTAATGAAGAAGATATGTGTATTTTCAAAATAAGTTTCATTTCAAAATCTCCCTTCAAAAAGTTGTGATCTTCAAAAAGAGATCACAACTTTTTTTTTTTTTTTTGAAAAAGCAGGGATACAAACATACTTGTACACCCATGTTTATTAGCAGCATCATTCACAGCAACCAAAAGGTGGAAGCAACCCAAGTGTCCATTGTTGGATGAATGGATAAAGAAAATATGGTATATATTATACATAAATGGAATATTATTTGGCCTTTAAAAGGAACGAAATTCTGACATATGCTACAATGTGGATGAACCTTTAAGATATTATGCTAAGTGAAATAAGGCAGTCACAAGATGACAAATACTATATGGTTCAACTTATATGAAATATCTAGTCAAATTCATACAGAAAGTAGAATAGTGGTGGCAGGACTAAGGGGAAAGGGAAGTGGGAAGTTATTATTTAATGGGTAGAGTTTCAGTTTTGCAGGTAAAGTTCTGGAGATGGATGGTGAGGATGGTTGCACAACAATGTAAATGTACTTAATGCCACTGAACTACTTAAAAATGGTTTAAATGATCCATTTTATGTTAGGTATATTTTGCCACAATTTTTAAAAGATGCTCTCGTGGAGTCTTTGTTCTTTACCACTGCTTATCAAAATTGTAGTTTCGTTTCTTTTTTTTTTTTTTTTAACCCAGTATAACAAATGTCATTTTTTAAAATTAGGTAGATTTTAAAAATTGAGATAAATTTAACCATTTTAACCATTCCAAAGTGTACAATTCAGTGGTTTTTAGTTTATTCACAAGGTTGTACAGCTATTATCTAATTCCAGAACATTTCCATCATCCCAAAAGAGAAACCTCATACCCATTAGCAATCACTACCAATTCCCCCTATCCCCATCCCCTGGAAACCGGTAATATACTTTATGTCTATAGATTTGCCTATTTTGGACATTTCATATAAATGGAATCATACAGTATGTGACCTTTTGTGTCTGGCTTCTTTCACATAGCATGTTTTCAAGGTTCATCTATGTTGTAGCATGTGTCAATTTTTATTCCTTTTTAAGGCTGAATATTCCATTGTGTGGCATATACCACATTTTCTTTAGTTAATTGATAATGTATCAATCAAATGTCAGTTGGCATTTGGATTGTTTTCACTTTTACGTTATTATGAATAATGCTGCTGTAAACATTCTTGTCTAAGTTTTTGTGTGAACATGTCCTCCTAGGTGTATGTCAGGGAGTAGAGTTGCTAGGTCATGTAGTAACTATGACTAGCCATCTGAGCAACTGACATAGAGCTGCACATTTTACATTCCCATCAGTAATGTAAGAGGGCTTCAATTTCTCTGTATCCTTGCCAACATTTATTATTTTCTGTTTTGTTGTTGTTTATAGACATCCTAGTGAGTGGTATCTCACTGGTTTTGATTTGCATTTCCCTTATGATGATGTTGAGCATCTTTTTGTGCTTATTTGCCATTTATATCTTTACTTTGGAGAAATGTCTATTCAAGTCCTTTGCCTATTTTTGAATCAAGATGTTTGTTCCCATTGAGTTGTATGAGTTCTTTATATATTCTGGACACTAGACTCTTACCAGATGTATGATTTGCAAATATTTTCTCCCATTCTGTGGGTTGGCTTTTCTATTTCTTTATGGTGTCCTTTGATGCACAAAAGTTTGTGTTAATTAGGTCCGATTTATCAGCTTTTTTTCTTTTTGGTGTTTTGTATGGTGTCATATCTAAGAATCTGTTATCAAATCCAAAGTAATGAATTTATCCGTATGTTTTCTTTTTTCACACATCTTAAAAGTTACCATTTTAACCACTTTAAAAGTACAATTCAGTGTTTTTTAGTATAGTCATAATATTGTTTAGCCATCTGTACTATCTAACTCCAAAATCTTTTCGTGTGCTTGCTGGCCATTTGAATATTCTCTTTGCAGAAATGTGTACTCAAATCCTTTGCCCATTTTTAAAATGGATTATCTTTTGTTGTTGGCTTGTAAGTGATCTTTATATATTCTGGATGTAGACTCTTATCAGATATACTGTTTATAAATACTTTCTCTCATTCTGTGGTTTTTCTTTTTACTTTCTTGATAGTGTCCTCTCATGCACAGATTTTGATAAAGTCCAGTTTATTTATTTTTTTCTTTTGTCAGTTTTGCTTTTGGTGGCATATTTGAGAAACCATTGACTAATCCAAGGTCATGAAGGTTTACAACTATTTTTCCCTTCTAAGAGTTATATAGTTGTATCTCTTACATTTAGGTCTTTAATCCATTTGGGTAAATTTTTTGTATATGGTGTGAGATAGAAGTCCTAATTTATCCATTTTCATGTAGTTATCCAGTGCCCTATACCATTTGTGGTTGTCTTTTTTTAAAAAAAACATCTTTATTGGAGTATAATTGCTTTACAATGGTGTGTTAGTTTCTGCTTTATAACAAAGTGAATCAGCTATACATATACATATATCCCCATATCTCCTCCCTCTTGCGTCTCCCTCCCTTCCACCCTCCCTATCCCACCCTCCCTATCCCACCCCTCTAGGTGGACACAAAGCACCGAGCTGATCTCCCTGTGCTATGTAGCTGCTTCCCACTAGCTATTTTACATTTGGTAGTATATATAAGTCCATGCCACTCTCTCACTTCGTCCCAGCTTACCCTTACCCCTCCCCGTGTCCTCAAGTCCATTCTCTACGTCTGCGTCTTTATTCCTGTCCTGCCACTAGGCTCTTAAGAACTTTTTTTTTTTTAGATTCCATATATATCTGTTAGCATACGGTATTTGTTTTTCTCTTTCTGACTTCACTCTGTATGACAGACTAGGTCCATCCACCTCACTCAATTTCATTTCTTTTTATAGCCGAGTAATATTCCATTGTATATATGTGCCACATCGTCTGTCGATGGAAACTTAGGTCACTGCCATGACCTGGCTGTTGTAAATAGTGCTACAATGAATATTGGGGTGCATATGTCTTTTTGAATTATGGTTTTCTCTGGGTTTACGCCCAGTAGTGGGATTGCTGGCTCATATAGTAATTCTATTTTTTGTTTTTCAAGGAACCTCCATACTGTTCTCCATAGTGGCTGTATCAATTTACATTCCCACCAACAGTGCAAGAGGGTTCCCTTTTCTCCACACCCTCTCCAGCATTCGTTGTTTGTAGATTTTCTGATGATGCCCATTCTAACTAAGTGTGAGGAGGTGATACCTCATTGTAGTTTTGATTTGCATTTCTCTAATGATTAATGATATTGAGCAGCTTTTCATGTGCTTCTTGGCCATCTGTATGTCTTCTTCGGAGAAATGTCTGTTTAGGTCTGCCCATTTTTGGATTGCGTTGTTTTTTTGATATTGAGCTGTATGAGCTGCTTGAAAACTTTGGAGATTAATCCTTTGTCAGTTGATTCGTTAGGAAATATTTTCTCCCAGTCTGAGGATTGTCTTTTCGTCTTGTTTGTAGTTTCCTTTGCTTTGCAAAAGATTTCAAGTTTCATTAGGTCCCATTTGTTTATTTTTTATTTTATTTCCATTACTCTAGAAAGTGGATCAAACAAGATCTTGCTGTGATGTATGTCAGAGTGTTCTTCTTATGTTTTCCTCTAAGAGGTTTATAGTGTCTGGTCTTACACTTAGGTCTCTAATCCATTTTGAGTTTATTTTTGTATATGGTGTTAGGGAGTGTTCTAATTTCATTCTTTTACATATACCTGGCCAGTTTTCCCAGCACCACTTATTGAAGAGACTTTCTTTTCTCCACTGTATATCCTTGCCTCCTTTGTCATAGATTAGTTGAACATAGGTGCGTGGGTTTCTCTCTGGGCTTTCTATCCTGTTCCATTGATCTATATTTCTGTTTTTGTGCCAGTACCACATTGTCTTGATTACTGTAGCTTTGTAGTATAGTCTGAAGTCAGGGAGTCTGATTCCTCCAGTTTCATTTTTTTCCTCATTACTGCTTTGACTATTCGGGGTCTTTTGTGTTTCCATACAAATTGTGAATTTTTTTCTTCTAGTTCTATGAAAAATACCATTGGTAGTTTGATAGGGATTGCATTCAATCTGTGGATTGCTTTGGGTAGTAGAGTCATTTTCACAATGTTGATTCTTCCGATCCAAGAAACATGGTATATCTCTCCATCTATTTGTATCATCTTTAATTTCTTTCATCAGTGTCGTATAGTTTTTTGCATACAGGTCTTTTGTCTCCTTAGGTAGGTTTATTCCTAGGTATTTTATTCTTTTTGTTGCATTGGTAAATGGGAGTGTTTCCTTAATTTCTCTTTCAGATTTTCCATCATTAGTGTATAGGAATGCAGGAGATTTCTGTGCATTAATTTTGTATCCTGCTACTTTACCAAATTCATTGATTACCTCTAGTAGATTTCTGGTAGCATCTTTAGGACTCTCTATGTATGGTATCATGTCATCTGCAAACAACAACAACTTTACTTCTCCTTTTCTGATTTGTATTCCTTTTATTTCTTTTTCTTCTCTGATTGTTGTGGCTAAAACTTCCAAAACTATTTTGAATTAGAGTGGTGAGAGTGGACAACCTTGTCTTGTTCCTGATCTTAGAGGAAATGGTTTCAATATTGCACCATTGAGAACGATGTTGGCTGTTGGTTTGTAATGTATGGCCTTTATTATGTTGAGGTAAGTTCCCTCTATGCCTACTTTCTGGAGGGTTTTTATCATAAATGGGTGTTGAATTTTGTTGAAAGTTTTTTCTGCATCTATTGAGATGATCATATGGTTTTTCTGTCTCAATTTGTTAAAATGGTTTATCACATTGATTAATTTGCGTATTTTGAAGAATCCTTGCATTCCTAGGATAAACCCCACTGGATCATGGTGTATGGTCCTTTAAATGTGCTGCT